AAGCCTGGTGCGGGGAAGGGAGGCTAGCAACTGGGTCTTCACCACAACGCAGGGACTGTAGTCCAACCCCCAAAATAGGGAGCACTAGAAATCTGCCACAAAGGAAAACTATCAGAAGGGAAAGGGTTAAAATGTCCCGCCATCAGTCCTTTGGATGCATCTCTCTCTCTCTCTCTCTCTCTCTCTCTCTCTCTCTCTCACTCACACACACACACACACACACACACACACACACACACACACACAGCAATCTTAAGTCTTACTGGTGGGAGATCTGAGACTGCAATCTTAAATACTGGTTTACCAAATTTAAAGTTTGACTTCCCATCTTTCTAAAACCTCTGAATTGAAATGTACTTTTGCTTGTTATAAAATGGATTCGGAACATTCCCGTTATTGAAAAAAGTTCTGAACATTTACTTCAATTCATCTGCAACCATTTATCCCAGAGAACCCTCCTCTCCCTGCAAATATATTGTTGTTGTTATTGTTCAGTCGCACAGTCAAGTCCGACTCTTTGCGACCCCATGGACATCACGCCTGGCCCTCCTGTTTTCGGTTGTGCTCCAGAGTTTGCTTAATTTCATGTTCATTGCATCGATAACACTATCTAACCATCTCATCCTTTGCCGTCCCCTTCTTCTTTGACCTTCAATCTTTCCCATTATCAGGGTCTTCTTCTACAGTGAGTGCTCCCTTCTCATTGGGTGGCCAAAGTATTTGAGCTTCAGTTTCAGTATCTGGCCTTCCAGGGAACAGTCAGGGTTGATTTATTTTAGGATTGACTGATTTGATCTCCTTGCTGTCCAGGGGACTCTCAAGAGTCTTCTCCAGCACCATAATTCAAAAGAATCTATTCTTCGGCGCTCGGCCTTCCTTATAGTCCAACTCTCACAGCCATACATGACTACTGGGAATACCGTCCCTTTGACCATAAAGACTTTTGTTGGCAGGGTGATGTCTCTACTTTTTATCATGCTGTCTAGGTTCGCCATCGCTTTCCTCCCAAGTAGCAGGCGTCTTTTAATTTCATGGTTGCTGTCACAGTCTGCGGTGATCTGGGATCCCAGGAATGTGAAGTCTGTCACTGCTTCCGTGACTTTCCCTTCTATTTGCCAAGGAGTGATGGGGCCAGATGCCATGATCTTAGTTTTTTTTGATGTTGGGTTTCAAGCCAACTTTTGCACTCTCCTCTTTTACCCTAAGCAAGAGGCTCTTTAGGTCCTCTTCACTTTCTGCCATTAGAGTGGTATCGTCTGCATATCTGAGATTGCTGATTTTTTTCCCAGCAATCTTAATTCCGGGTTGTGATTGCAAATATATATAGATAACTTCAATTGGCAAGACAAGTCATGCTGTGGAGGCCATGGGAAGGGGGAAAGGTCCAAGAGACCTGTTAGGAGATAAAGTTGGGGCTTCTTTGGGTTGCTAAAAGAAATAAAGGTGTTGTGGGCTGGACAGAGAAGATACCAAGTTATTGGCCAGAATCCCTCTTTAAGTTTAAGATTATGAAGAAAAG